CTTCTTTGCTAGCAACTACGAGGACAATGATCGGGATTAGATGAGCCGGTTCATTCGAGTGAGGACCTGCGACATAGTCCCAGAGGAGAAAATGTCGTTCCCGGAGAAGTGGAACCCCAAATGTAAGTGAAGTTCTTTTCCAGTAGCCATTTCGTATTCCATTTTTACATTGCGTGATGCCGTCGTCTTTTTTGTAGTTGTCGCTTGGATGCCCCATGCGGTCACCGACCTTGACGACTGGGTCTGAAAAGTAGCTGCGACCTCCTCTTGTAACGAACGCCATTGGTGTAACTTGGCGAGGGGCAGATAGGAAGCCAAATATCATGGTAAGTTCATCTTGTAAGTTTCTGATACTTTCCTCTTTATCAGATACGTTTCTTTACTCATATATAATTCTCCTTCGTGCAGGCATCGGAGACATCTCTAAAATGAGGCCGGCTCTGCCTGGGGAAGAAACTAAGTCGAAGAAAGATAATAAAAGGAAAAGGGTCTCAAATCCCAAATAACCCCAAGACAAAAGGGCTCCAGCTTGAAGACGCAGGAGGAATCTCATTCCTATGGATATAGACACAGTCCACCAGCTGGATAATGAAGAAGAAGATGAGGGCAAAGACTTGGAGCTGGTGGTTCGAACCAGGAAGCCGGTTGAAGTTGCCAAGCCCTCCGAGCCAAATATTTTGCCTCTTGATGAAGGGGCTTCGAAGAAAGATGCAGGAAAGACACCTAATTCGCCGAGGTCGAGATTGTTCCTCGGCCATCAACAAGCACACCGGAGGGGGCGAGTTCCGAAATACCCAGTACTGAACAGAACTCCCCGAGTGATATGCTTGGGGACATGACAATAGGTCACTCTCCCACTTTACCGGCTTATTTTGAAGAAGCCATAAGGGAGGCTCGGGCTTTGTAGACACCTGACTTGGGTAAAGTCCCCAACGAAAAGGATCCCTTCTAGGATTTCTTTACCGGGATCGATGATGTCGCCGATCTCATCAACGCATCTACCCTCTTCAAAGCGGCTCAATGCCTTTTCTCTCTAGTAAGCATTAATTTTTTCTTTTTCTTTTTCTTCTTCTCCCTTTACCCTAGCTTGTATCCTTCTTTTTGTGTAGTCTTTCACCAAGTTTAGGGCTAACCTGAGCCAATGCGAGGCTGAGCTCCAAAAGACCTCGGATGAAAGTAACCCTTTGAAGTTCCTTTGTAGTCAAAAGAAGGAGGAGCTAAGGGACTTTCGGGCAGACTTTGCCAAAGCTCGTAAGGATGAGGCCGAGCTAGAAAAATAGTTAACTGTCATTTTGAAAGAGTACGATCTACTTGACCCAACTGTGGAGGCTAATACTTCAGTGTCTCAACTAGAGCAAAAGCTAGAGAAGATTAAGCTACTTCGAGGCGACATCGATCAAATTAAGGCCTACTGCAATTGACGGAAGGAGAATATGGACTGCCTTACTGCGGAGAAGGAGGCTGCTCTAGCCAAACTAGCATCGGCTGAGGCCCAACTCCGGGGTGCTAAAGAGAAAAGTTCGGCCTAGGCCAAAAGGATCGATGAGCTCGAGGTCAAGCTTGATGAGGCCAGGGCTGAGGTCGAGAAGACGAAGGTCAAGGATGAAAAAACCGTTGTTGTATACTTAAGGGATGCTGAGATTGCTCAAACGTAGCTAATGGAAGCCTTCGACCAAGAGCGACGAAGCAATGATTTGTCCAAGTGCCAATCCCGGAGGGAGACCCTCAAGGAAATCCACGCTCGAGGTTTTGACCTTTCTGAAGAGATAGCTCAAGCAAAGGCGCTCGAAGCTGAGAGGACAACGTCGTGGTACAGATCCCCGCCCCCGAGAAGAATATCACTACTCATGTGGAGGGATTCCTGAGTGTCTATACTTACCTCTTCACACTGGGCCCATCGACCCAGTTGTCATCGACTTCTGCAAGAGGTACCAAGTCACCCTTGGCCAGATCCACCCTTCTTTCTAGCGCATAGTGAGCATGATCTGTTATTTCTCCACCAAGGCCGAGGGGCTAGAGTTCACCCTTAACCATTTTATATGATTGTATCGGCCTCAGATTTTCCGAGGGTTGATTAAGCTCCAATGCCGGTCGACCAAGGCCTTCTTTGATAGCAACTATGAGGACAAAGATCGGGGTTGGATAATCTGGTTCATTCGAGTAAGGACCTGCAACATAATCCCATAGGAGAAAATTTCATTCTCGGAGAAGTGGAACCCCAAGCGTAAGTGAAGTTTTTTTCCGATAGCACTTTCGTATTCCATTTTTACATTGTGTGATGCCTTCATCTTTTTTGCAGTTGTTGCTTGCATTCCCTATGCGGTCACCGACCTTGAACACTAGGTCCAAAAAGTAACCGCGGTCTCCTCGTATAACGAACGTCGTTGGCGTGACTTAGCAAGGGGCAAATGGGAATCCAAACATCATGGTAAGTTCATCTTTTAAGCTTCTGATACTTTCCTCTTTATTAGAGACGTTTCTTAAATCATATCTAATTCTCTATCATGCAGGCATCAGAGACGTCATTAAATTGAGGCTGACCCTGCCTGGGGAAGAAACCGAGTCCTCTATTCCAATATCGGGGAAAGATAATAAAAGTAAAAGGGTCTCGAAGCCCAAAGAACCCCAAGACAAAAGGGCTCTAGCTTAAAGACGCAGGAGGAATCACATTCCTGTGGATATATACTTAGTCAACTAGCTGGATGATAAAGAAGAAGATGAGGGCGAAGACTCGGCACTGGTGGTTTGAACTAGGAAGTTGGTTGAAGTTTCCAAGACCTTCGAACCGAAAACTTTGCCTCGTGATGAAGAGGCTTCAAAGAAAGATGCAGGTAAGGCCCCTGATTCACCGAGGTCAAGATTTTCCTCGACCATAATCAAGCACACCGGAGTGGGCGGGTTTCGAAATCCCCAGTACTGAACAAAACGCCCCGAGTAATGCACTCGGGGCCATGACAATGGGTCACTCTCCCTCTCTACCGGCTTATTCTAAAGAAGCCATAAGGGAGGCTCGGACTCTATAGACACCTGACTTGGGAGGAGTCCCAAGCGAAGAGGATCCCTTCTTGGATTGCTTTACCGGGATCGATGATACCACCGATCTGAACAACACATCTACCCTCTTTGAAGAGGCTCAACACCTTTTCTCTCGAGTAAGCATTAATTCCTGTCGTTGGAATTTTTTCTTTTTCTTCTTCTCCCTTTACCTTAACTTGTATCCTTCTTTCTATGTAGGCTTTCACCAAGTTTAGGGCCAACCTGAGCCAATGCGAGGACGAGCTCTAGAAGATCTCGGATGAAAAAAAACGCTTTGAAGCTCCTTTGCAGTCAAAAGGAGGAGGAGCTTAGGGACCTTCGAGCAGACTTGTCCAAGGCTCATAAGGATGAGGCCAAGCTAGACAATCAGGTAACTGTCATTTTGAAAGAGTACGGTCTACTCGACCCAATTGTGGAGGCTAATACTTTAGTGTCTCAGCTGCAGCAAAAGTTGGAGAGGATTGAGCTGCTTCGAGCGAGGTCAATCAAATTAAGGCCGACTGCAATTGGTGGAAGAAGAATATGTTCTGCCTTGCTACGGAGAAGGAGGCTGCTTTAGCCAAAATGGCATCGGTTGAGGCCCAACTCCGGGGTGCTAAAGAGAAAAGTTTGGTCCATGCAAAAAGGATCGACGGGCTCGAGGTCAAGCTTGCTAAGGCTAGGGCTGAGGTCGAGAATACAAAGGTCAAGGATGACAAAACCGTTTCTGTATACTTAAGGTATGCTTAGGCTATTCAAACGTAGCTAATGGAAGCCTCTGACCAAGAGCGACGGAGAAATGATTTGGCCAAGTGCCAATCCGGGAGGGAGACCCTCAAGGAAATCCACGCTCGAGGTTTCGACCTTTTTAAAGAGATAGCTCATGCAAAGGTGCTCGAAGTTGATGCCAGATTTCTCATCTCCTCCTCCGACGATGATGATAATGAGGGAAGCTAAGGTGGGTCTGACAATGATGAGGGTGTTAGATCCAGTTTTAATGATGCAAATAATATACATATGCAGGAAATCAATCACAAGGATTCAAGAAGATACAACAAGATTGTTGGAGTCAAACTTGATGCCTAAGGAGCGAAATCAATCAGCAAAGATTACAATCCAATCAGCAAATCTGGATGCCTAACGAAAGAACTCGCAAATCTGGATAACTAAGGAAAGAACTCAATTAGCAAATCAATCAGTAAAGAGTAACGACCAGTTGCAATGGAGAGAATCAAACAAGCCTAAACTTTAGGCATGAATCAAGTCCAGCATTCTGGAAGATCGAAGATCCTATAAAGTTTGATACGTGACTAATTTCGGAAGAACCATCAATCAAAGAGCAAGTCTTCATTTCATACTTTGCTAAAAGAAGGAAATCAAGGAAAATCAACGGCTAGCTATCTTATTCTTGGAAATAATCAATATCTTTCCAAGGATCAAATCTCTTGGGTTCAGCCTCGACCTTCATCAAAGTATTTATACCCAGCCTTAAACCTTAGTTAGACATACTTTGATCGAACCAAAAATCCCTCTCTTTGTTCTACTACAAACGAACATTGTAGTTCACTAAGATCTGTTGTGTAACAAGTTAGAGAAAAAAAGAGAGTATAACATTGGTGAGGCATTGTATCAAAAAGAAACGAGTGCTAGAGAAACTGTGTTGTCAATTCACTTCAACTATACTCGGAGAAACACATTTACTAAAGAGAACTCCCTTGCAACCCAAGGGGAATGGACTAGGATTCACATTGAATCTGAACCAGTATAAAATCCTAGTGTCTTTAATTCCTGCTTTTACTTTCTGCATCTTACTTTCTGTCATTATAACTGTTAAGTTATTATATCTAGTCGACTACTCGATTAACTAGTCAACTAATAAGCGATTAAGTTTAAATATTTACAATTCACCCCCCTCTTGTACTTTCAATTGGTATCAGAGCAAGGCTCACATTTTACTTTTGCTTAACAGCTTGTGAGAAAAGATCATGGCAAATCAAGTTATTATAGGAGCTCTCTTTCAGGAAGGAACTTCACAAGTTAGACCACCATACTTCAATGGACAACATTTCCCCCATTGGAAAGTGCGAATGAAAATCTTTGCCAAAGCTTATGACGTCAAAGTCTGGAGAGTCATCAAAAAGGGAAACTATCCCTTACCAGCTGCCACTCCACCACTAGTTGATCCTAAAGATATAGATTCATATACAAAAGAGCAAATGGAAGTGGTACAAGTTAACAACAAAACGAGAAATCTGCTTCATAACGCTATAAGTGGTGAAAAATATGAGAAAATCTCAAGCTGTGATATAGCCAAAGAAATGTGGGACAAGCTTGAGGTCACTTATGAAGGAACCAGCAAAGTAAAGGAAACATATATCAACATGCTGGTCCATGATTATGAACTCTTCTCAATGAAAGAAGGAGAATCTATTGAAGATATGTTTTCCAGGTTTAGCAAAATAATTAGCGATCTAAAGGCATTTGGCAAGCCTTACACCAGTGGTGATCAAGTTAGAAAAATTCTTAGGAGTTTGCAAACCACTTGGCAGACCAAAGTAGTCACACTGGAATCTCAAGATCTAAACAAATTATCCTATGATGAACTCTTAGGAGAACTCATTGCTTTTGAAAAGACGCATCTCAAGAAGACCAATCAAGAAGAGAAAAAGAAAATAGTTTCATTCAAAACCTCTACTGAAATAGTTAAAATTGAAATTGATGATGGTCCTGAAGCTTTGCAAGAAGAGATTGCTATGCTATCAATAAATATGGATGGATTGATGAGAAGATACAGAAACACAAAGAAAGGAAGAATTCCACCAAGACGGTCCAGGCAATACAACGAACATGATAAGAATGATGGAAAGTGCTATGAATGTGGAAGATTTGGGCATATTCAAGCTAAGTGCCCAGAACTGAAGAGGAAGAACTCTAGAGGCTTCAACAAGAACAAATCCTTAGGAAGCTGGAGCGATGGGGATAATTCAGACCACGAAGAGATAGAAAATCTCTGCTTCATGACAATTCTGGAAAACGAAATGAACAAATCCTCAGGATGCTGGACAGACGAAGACATTTCAGATGATGAAAATGAAAATTGTTTCATGGCACGAGGTTAAACCAGTAAGGTGAGATCTTATAACTGTGAAAGATACAATGAATTGCAGGATATTATTGATTTAACTTTGAAAGAGTCTCAAAAAATGATGAATGAGCTTAAGAGACTCACTAAGGAAGTTAAAGACCGGAAACTCAAACATGAAGTATGGGAAATCGAAAAGGAAGTAATTCAAGAAGAGTTTGAGGAATTGCAAATGCAACTCAATGGCATGCGCAAGTCCACCAGTCACAGTTATGTTAGGTCAAACCAGACGACTTACAAGTCAACTGGAAAAGAACCAGCCAGAACCAAGTCGACTAGTACTAACACCAATGAAAGACCTAAAAGTAGGTCAGAAGTTATGTGTCATTATTGTAACAAAAATGGGCACAAATATTTATTTTGTCGTTTTCGTAAAATAAATGTTTCAGGATGGGTTTGGAAACCAAAAAATTCTGAACCTGGTAACACTAACCCTCTAGGACCTAGGCAAGCTTGGGTACCTAAAAGAAAGTAATAATCTTGTTTTGTATGAACACCACAGAATAAGCCGCAAAGGAAAATGGTACCTAGACAGTGCGTGTTTCATTCATATGACAGGTGACAAAAACCTGTTCAAAGAAGTTACCAAAATTGATGGAGGAAGTGTTAAGTTTGGGGATGATTCAAAAGGCAAAATAATTGGTACTAGAGCAATTCCCTGCAAGAACAATTGTGACATCACTGAAGTTTATCTTGTCGATGGCCTCAACTACAATCTTTTGAGCATAAGTCAACTCTGCGACTCAGGATATGAGGTAAATTTTAAGAAAACATGATGTGGTATATATTGAAGATGAATCAGGTAAAATAGTTCTTCCTGGAAAATGGTATGAAAATGTTTATATCATTGACAGTTTTGAAAAGATAGATGGTCATATTTGCTTATCCTCTATGTCTGATGATCCATGGTTGTGGCATAGGAAACTTGGTCATGCTAGCATGCATTAGATAGAAAAATTGTCCAAACATGAGTTAGACGTTGGTCTACCCAAACTGAATTTTTCTAGAACTCATATTTGTGATGCATGTCAAATGGGTAAGCAAACCAGAAACTCTTTCAAAAACAAAGATATAGTATCTACTTCAAAACCTTTGCAATTACTTCATATGGATTTATTTGGGCCTACTAGAACTGCTAGTATAGGAGGAAAAATGTATGCTTTTATTATTGTTGATGATTATTCATGTTTCACTTGGGTAATTTTCTTATTTCATAAGGATGAAGCATTAAGAAATTTTGAAGTTTTCTGCAAAAAGGTTGAAAGAGAAAAGGGACATCTGATTTCAACAATTCAGAGTGACCATGGAGGAGAATTTGAAAGCAGAGGATTTGATGATTTTTGTAATGATCAGGGATACACCCATAATTTCTCTGCACCATGCTCACCACAACAAAATGGGGTTGTAGAAAGAAAGAACAGAACTCTCCAAGATATGGCAAGAACCATGTTACTAGAACATTCTCTACCAAACCACTTCTGGGCAGAAGGTGTAAGTACAACATGTAACATTCTCAACCGTTGCCTCATAAGGCCAATTCTGAAGAAGACTCCATATGAATTATGGAAAGGTAAACGTCCCAATATTAGTTACTTCCATCCTTTTAGAAGTAAATATTTTATCCACAATAACGATAAGGATAATCTTGAAAAGTTTGATCCAATAAGTGATGAAGGTACTTTTTTGGGATACTCATTAAATAGTAGATCTTTTCGAGTCTATAATAAATGCACATTATGTGTGGAAGAATCTGTACATGTTATATTCGATGAAAATA